TCACTGAGAATAAAAGTTTGTACTAATATTGTTTAGACAAGATTTCATGTATCTTCTCCACTGAATAACTACTATGAAGACAACAATATGCAATGTATTAATTATTGTAAATGTCCTCTTATCCTGTTTTGAAACTGTTTCATCACTAGTTTATCTTTTTTCTCATAAAAATGAATAAAAATTAAATAAATAAAAAACAGGAGCCTATATTTTGCTGTCCACAAAAAGGAAACAAAAATCAGAAACAAAACACAAACCAAAATCCTTCAAATGTAAAGTCAGTTTGAATGTAATAAAATGAAAATATCCATCATATGCAGGTCACCTATCCAGCTGCTGTGGTTATATCAATGTCAGAGAAAGTAGCTCTCAAGGCAAAGAGAAATTCAGCCCCCGCCACAAAAACCACTTCCTTCATAATAAAAAGTACAAATTATCAAAGAGTTGTAAACATTCCTAAGCTGTATACACCCAATAACAGTAAAAAATCTCTGATCATAATTAAATATAACTAGAAGTAATTAATGGTGAAATGTTGGTAGAAAGCATAATACATATCTAAAAATAAGATAGGATTATCAAATAAAACAACCCTCTTTTGGCAAAAGTCTTTTTGGTGTTATCATTAAAATAGCACAAAATCATTTTTGTGTGATCAAAGTAAATTGAAAATATAAAATTTATATTAATTTCTCACACTTAAAGTAACTTTACCCATTGGGGCACTAAGGAAGAAAAGAGCAAATTAAATTTAAAGTAAGAAAAGGAGAAAACATAGTAGTGGAAAAAATACAAATTGTTCAAATAGAAAAAAAAAAAAACAACACAATTTCCAGAAAAAATATTATAATTTTGAGAATATTAATAAAATGTGCCCAAATGTGTAAGAACAGATCAAAATGTAACATTTTCAAAATGTATCCATTTTCCATCAGTATGCACTTGTGTATGTTGTTTAGTCAGTGAAAATGAGCAGGCTCTGCACAGGGCGCCACCGGGAAGCCCTGACCGCTCCTGACCATCTCCCAGGAGCGACCTCCACTGTCCTCAGCCCTCTGCCCTGAGCCCGCGGCCTGCACAGCCCGGAAGCACGGCTGCTGAGCCAATCGTATCCTCAAGGCTGGAGCACAGCTCCTGGAGCCCGCGCAGACTCTCCTGGATGCACAAGCCTGGGTGGGCGGGCCTGGTGCGCATGCGCGGCTAAGCTGAGGCGCATGCACAGCTAAGCTGAGGCTCATGCGCAGGTCAGGTTAAGCTCATGCAAGTTTGAGCAGCCCAGTGGTTGAGACTCAAAGGCGATCAGCTCATCTTCAAAGGCGGTAAAAAGTCGAGAGCAGGAAGAGCCTGGGTACAGCTTCTGCCATGAAGAAGTGGTTTTGCCTCGGCAGTAGGTGCCAGGCTCCATCCAGCCCCGCGGATCCCCGGAGGAGCAGCAGGGGTGCGTGGCCCCACGTTTACAGCAGGGCGAGGCGCAAGTTCCACAAGGCTGCGAGCGAGGGCGACGTGGCCAGAGTGGAGGGTCTTCTCCTCCTCGGGAAGAGTGAACTCAATGAAGGCGACAGGAAGCGCAGGTAATGGAGCTGCGGGGAAGGTGTGGGAGCAGGGGTGGGTCCAGGGCTCATGGGGCGTGGGATGGGTGAGGGGGGCGGCGATGGAGTGGGAGGGGGAGAAGGGGGCCTGGGAGGGGGAGGGAGAGCTCCCTTCCTCCAGGGAGGTGGACCTGGACTTGGGCTATGCCGGGGGCTCATGAGCAGCAGAATAAAACCTAAACTTTAGATTTGCAGTCGACTTTTATTTCCTGTTTACAGATCACTTTTCTTGACTGACATGATTTAACTAGTGTAACAAATGTGTCTGTCATATTTTAATTCTTAGTATAACATTAAGAGAACTGTTAAATATACTGTTTAAAAGAGCATAGTAGCGAACATTTCCGACAATGTACAATTTTACTCTGCTAAGATACAGTATTCATTTTCTATCTATTCACTCATGTATGTTGTTCAGTAAAGAGCCTTCCGAGGAAACTTGGATGGGAAGATGGCTCTGTGTTCATGAGGAGAAAGGTCCATTAGTTTCAAAATGTGAGCTTCTGTTCATCAGTTTTATGGAAATGTCACGTAATGAGTTCCATGAATTCTCTTTTGCTGTTGTGTCACTGAGGCAATGAAGTGAAGACCAGCCTTCCTAGGGATCAAAATAAATTTTTTAGCCAGTTGTTTACTAAAACCCTGAAAGACACATAAATGCATGTAGCTTAATAGAAAATCCAGAAACATTGAAATACCTCTGAGAATTTAGAACTTGATACTGGTGACCTCCATTTTAGTTGAAAAATTGCAATCAGCCATAAGTGAAGTGCCTGTCAGCTGTCTGGAAAAAGTCCCAGCTAGAATTTTATGTCACAAAGTTCCTGAAGGAGTGTACATTCAAATAGAAAAAATGATTCAAAGTAAGAAAAGTACCAAAAGAAAACATAAATGCCTATCTGTGCCTTCCTCAGAATGACCTCAAAAGCAAACATTCTTACTTGGCACTGGGGGTTGCCCCTAGGTCCTGGTTCATGCTGAACCCACTACCACGGAGCCACTCTTATTTCCTCACCTGAATTCCAAAGGTTGACTATCAAAAGAAAAATTAAATTCTCCTTTTTATAAATATTTAGTACAGGTTCTAGAGGGTCTCAAGACACAGATTGGACCCATAGTGATCCTCCTGTTTTCAGCCTCCCAAGTGCTGGGATTACAGGCGAGTGCCACCATGCCCAGTCTCAGTAGCCATCTCAGCAGGCCCTGGGGGTGTGGTCTCCCTGGCAAGCTGGGGCTCAAACCAGGTCCCTGTGCTTAGGCAGGCACTTTAGTCCACATAGCTATCTGGCCAGCCTAAATTCCTCCTTATATTAAAAAATAGTAATGAAATGAAAGACAGTATACTCCCAAAACATTTGCAACATACACTGGATGAAAAATGTATGTTTATGTTAGAATTCTTTGGAATTATCAAAGAAAAAATACTGAATGTTAATTTATTTTGATGCTCAGGACCACAGCCTGTGAGCCTCGAATCCTGGACTGTACCACTGAGCTATATTGACCTCTAAATTGGGTATTTGGCAGCTCTACAAGTGCCCTATGAACATAAAAAGAAATAGTGTCTCTAGTAAGGGAGACTTAATTTTAAAAAGGAATATGATGCTTTCCAGCTATAAAGTTTATGAAGATAAAGAGCAATTCATATGCCCTCTTAACATTTAAGTTGGCTTATGATATTTTTCCAACAGTGAATTTGATACAAGTACTGTAACCTCATTTTAAAAAAGGACTTCTGCACCCATCAATTCTATGATACTATAGCTGGACAGATAGCCAGATAGCTTAGTGGACTAAAACACCTGCTTAGGTAGAGTGCAACATCTGGGGTGCGATTGTGCCCGGCCCTGGCTTGCTGTTCCTGCCCTGCCCCTGGGGTGTGCTGAGAAGGCAATTGAGGCTGGGTATGGTGAGGCAGACCTGTAGTCTCAGTGCTTGGGAGCCTGAAAACAGGAAAATCAGTACGAGTCCAATCTGTAGGGTGTGACCCTATAGACCTTGTAGACTCTTTACTAGAGTAAAAAAAAAAAAAATCCATGATACATCCTTTTAGGATTTGAGACATGTGTAATTGGGTGTTCTTCAGCATTGCTTAAAATAGCCATCTGTTAAAGTGAGTCCATAGAAGAAATTATATCAGTTACATTCAGAGGGTGGAATAGTATAGAACCGTTGAAACTGGCATAGACATCGATATATGTTGACATGCAAACATGCACTTTGATGTATCAAGTGAGAAAATTGTCAGTTTGATTTTGCATACTCACAAACAGACTGCAGTCTTGTCTTGGCTAACAGATGTGCACAAAATCTGTCAAATTTCATTATTTCCAGGCTTCTCGGAAAGTCAAATTTTCTGTTCCTTTTCTTTAATATGTAGTTCATTCTATTTCTATTATTTAAGTGATTTTCAGTATCTTTTATTCATACTTAGTTTTATTGAAAGAAACTATATTCAGTGTTAATCCCATATTTTGACATTTGTCGTGTCTTGCTTTTTGGACTAGCTTTTGATTAGTTTTGGCTCTAGCTCTCTGTGCCCTTCTTTGCTTTTTCTTATTTGAGTTTTCTACAGTGAATATGTACAAAGTTGTAGCAAAAGTTTACTGTTAATAAAATAGTCCCAGAGAAGAATGGTAGTATTAGTCCAACAAAGATAATTTTCATTTTTTCTTTGTGTGTGTATTGGTATTTTTGCCAACTCTTAGCTTCTTCAACATTAAAGGAATTATCTATGCTTATAGATTTTAGTTATGTGTACGTATAATTATATACGCCTTATTATGTATAGGTTTACATGTGTACAACTACAGATCATTTCAGGTACATTCTTACAGAAGTAAAAGACAGCAAATAGAAATGATTATTATTGCTGCAGAGATATTGCTTTCCTTTTTACTCCCAACAGTACTTATCCATTCTTTCAATGGAAACATTCTTTCAATGTTTCTTTGACAAAGATAACCTGAATACCTAGGATGTATTCTCCTGTCGGGATCCCTTCTTTTTTAAATTGTCATGCATACCTGTTCAGTCTAGTTAGCTGAGAGGTTTAAAATTGAAGAAGGAACTCAAATGTCATTTGAAGCTTTTCCTATTACTTTTCAAATAGAAACATGTTCTGAAGGTAGGAAATTGTAAGAAAATCATTACCTGCTCTTTTCAGTATGTGTAATAGTACTCAATGCTGATATTAAGTATGAGCAATATTTGATTTCTGTGCATCCTGTAAATCTAAGTTCTGGACAAATGGGCCATTTCTACCCATTTGAATGCTGGGTTTTATTCAGCCTAAAATGAAAATCAAACTGAGGGCTGTTCTTTTTCTCTTTTGTCTTGTTTTATTCCTATTCTGCACTCATTACTAGTAGTTTTTCAGTATCAACCATATGCCTACAGCTGCCATAGAACTGTTGCATATATTTTTTAAAAATTTATGTGTGTGTGTGTGTGTGTGTGTGTGTGTGGCCAGCTCAGCCCACCAGGGGGCGAAGATGGCTGGCATGTGGTGCTGGGGGATTGAACCGTGGTCCCTGTGCTTTGCTAAGCTTGTTCTAAATAGGTGCTTTAGACCACTGAGCCATCTCACCAGCCCCCCATTGCATACATTATACTTCACTTCATGTAAGGCGCCGTGGATTGTGTGATGACTCCATATGAAGAAAACTTCTTCTTCTTCTTCTTCTTCTTCTTTTTTTTTTTTGGCAGAACTGGTGATTGAACTCAGGCCCTTGCGCTTGCCAGGGAAGTGCTTATTCCACTGAGCCATCTCCCCGGCCCCAACTTCTTACAAGCCCCTCTGTGGGATTTTTGTGTAGAGATACAGGACAATGAGGTCTCCCCCCCCCCCGAAGCAGCTTTATTTATGCTGGCACAAACTCAGCAGGTTTGTGTCCAACGTGCCATGGCTGCACCCTTTCATACAATTTTTGTGTGTTTGTATCCATTTCATGGGCATGCACAAGCATTTTACAAACTGGTTGGGCATACATAAACACTCTGCAGTCCGGGTGGGTATGATTTCTGTTATAGAGTTATATCATTGCTACACTGAACGCACGGAGATTCATATTGCTTCACTGTAAAGTTTCCCTCCCAGCATGTTAGGAGGGCCCCCAGCACATCACCAGTTACAGTTATATCTGTAGTCTTGTGACGTATTTGTGCTTTTCAGTGAGAAATGCTAAAGTGAAAGAAAAAATTCTTAAGAATTACTGAAGTAATCCATCCTGCACAAGTGGGTGCATTTGAATTATTTTATATAAAATGAATTGAAATATTGTGTTTGTTATGCAGTAATAGTTATAATTATAGTACCTAACAATGATTGAGCTGTTATTTGTGGTAGCAGTTGTACTAAATACTTTTCATGGATTCTTATTCAACCATCACAGTGGTATCCTATGAGAAAATTGCTTTCAATCCTCATTTTAAGATAAGAGTATTGGGCCAGGGAGATAGCTCAGTGGCATAAGTGCCTGCCTGGCAAGTGTAAGGTAGGCACATACACACATACACACACATACACACACACACACACCACAATAAATAAAGGTGAGACTACTGAGGTACAGAAAGGCTAAGTACTAGTTACAAACTAAGAACTTAAAATTGAATTAAACCCAAATAGAGCTAAATCTGGGTTTGCATTCCAGTAGGCTGCATTAGGCTGGAAGGCACCTCAGAGGAGAGTCTTGCTTACTATGTGCAAGACACTGGCTTCCTTCCCCTATTCAATATACACAAATCCCCCAGGTGCTCTTTCATTAATTTGTGAATAGGAAGAGCTAGTAAGTATTCTGTAGTTTAGAAGAAAATTAAATACTTGTTCTGAAAGCTATTTCATGTTCATAATTATATAAATAATTGCACATTTTAAAACTTTCTAATTTTTATGACTGCCACAGGACCGCTCTCCATTTTGCCTCTGCATGTGGTCAGGCAGAAGTGGTGACTCTCCTGGTAGAGAAGAAATGTAATATCAATGCATGTGACAGTGACAGTAACATCACACTGATTAAGGTAGATAGCAGCCAATTTCAGTATGAGGTAAATTGTATTTAAATGCTGAAAATAAAAGTGAATCGATGTAATTCAGATAAAACTACTTAGTGAGGTGGGGAACTTTGTTTTGAGTTCCTTCAGGTGACTGACAGTGTCTCTCCTGTGACACCTGCAGGCTGTGCAGTGCAACCAGGAGCACTGTGCGGCCATTCTCCTGGAGCACGGTGCAGACCCGAACATTGCAAATGCCAGGGGCAATACTGCTCTCCATTATGCCGTCTACAGTGAGACCACAGCCATAGCAGCGAGGCTTCTTTCACACAGCGCAGACACTGAGGCGAAAAGCAAGGTATATTCAATTTTTTATAAAATATTGAAGCATATTCATGTTACCAGTGACATATAGGTAGGGCCAGTTTTCTGTATTTCAAAAGTCAAGTGTTGCATGAATAGAAATATACTATTTTGAGTTGTTAGTTGTTGAAAGATTTCTCTTCAAATGTTGATAGTTTTAAATACTAGAGGATATGGGTTTCTTTTATGCATTTATAGCAAGTCTTTTGGAAAGAGTGAATTTTTAAAGCATAAATCTTTCTTCTTTCTTATTTCTTTCCCAAAGTTATGCTGTTTCTTCTTTCTCAATTAGTGTAAAACAGCACAGGAAGAAAACTTTGCATTAGAAATAGGTGTTACTTTAAAATGTAAATAACAATATGCACAAGTATTTCAGAAGTCCGATCATATTGTTTAGTGAAGCTTTGTACTGCTTCTAATTTTATACAACTTTTTTGGTGCAGTACCAGGTGTTGAACTCAGGACCCTGTGCTTGCCAGGCAAGCACTTATTCTTCTGAGATATCTCACAGGCTCTATAAAACAATTTTTCATTCTCTTTAAAAAATAAAAAATGTAAAAAACAAGAGCAACAATGAAGGGGAAATCTTGCTGCTGTTGACAGATTATAAAAGTAATTCGTTGTTCAGCGATTTCACTTACATGGAAAAAGAAGAAAGGAATAGTGGATAGAAATCACACAGGCCAATGGAGGTTGGTTGGCTGCTCATTTCAGAAGCAGTTTTTCTGGTTTATGTATATAGCCAGCATACTCTTGTATTGGGGGAATCAAAGTTATTTTTTGCTTTTGATACTAAAAATTCAACACAGGGCCTTTACACAAAGCTACATCCCCAGTTCTTATATTATCCTAAATTTTGAGATAGAGTCTCACTTAGTTGCCTAGTCTGGATTTGAACTTGCAGTCTTCTTGCCTCAGCCTGCCATAGTGCAAGGATCACAGACTATACCTGGCTTGGGTATACAAGTTCTTAATTAGGAGAAAAGGCTGTATGGTTGCAAACCTGCAATTTTAGGAGAACTCTGAAGAAGCCAGGTGGGCACTGGCTGAATGGTGATTAGGTGGAGAGCAAGGGGGATGAACAAGTTATTAACAGACATCCTGTCCTTCTGGGGTAGAAGCAGCAAATAAGATAAGAGTCTAAATTCTGTTTTCAAACCTATAATGTTGGGCTGGGAACCAGGAGATAAGTAGCTTATATAATGACTTCAGTTCTATTTTGAATTTCCCATTCCCCATTCTGCCCCTAGCCGAAAGGATTAAAAGGAGCTTTCATGAAGAGACTATCTCTTGCTTTCCCTGCTTTGGCCAACTCCTGAGAGAGTGAGGAGAACTGGCTGAGTGTATGAGAGATGCAACTGAAGTGGTCTTCTGGTTCTCTAGCTCTTACCCAGAATTGTACATCTCAGTGGCCTGGGGAATCTTTGAAAATGTACAAGTTGCCACTCTCTGCTGGTTTGCTAATTTGTCAATCTATTAAGGCCTGACATAGAAAATTAAAAATATTTCCTTAATATTCTAGGATAGCTCAGAACCATTTAAAGGATGAATATGTTTAATGGAGGAGTTCCTAATTCTCAGAAACTTAAGGAACCTTTAAACAAGCTTTTGTCTAATTTCTCCTTGCCAACAATACTAGCCCAACTTTCATTTGTCTTTCTGTACACTGTCAGGGAGAAGTTAAAAGGTATCATTTGTGATATGTGTTGCTGTGCAGAATACCACCACTTTCCCTCCAATCTTCAATGTTCCACCGCCACTGAGAAGCTCTAGAAATTCCCTACTCTTGAGGATGACTCTTTAAGATGTCTATGTCTGTTTATTATCATTGATGGCATGAGGTCAAGAAATGTTGTGTCTTGCCGGACTTTAAATAAAACCAACCATGAGCCAGTTTGTAGTTGAAGGCATGTGATAGACTCTCTCATATAGAGTTTAACAGGCCCTGGCAGAAATCCATCTGATTAGTAAGGATATACATGGGAATGCTTTTTGAAATTTTTATTTTTGTGTGTGGTACTGTCGATTGAACCTTGGGCCTTCCTACTGAGCTACATGTCCAGTACCTAGCACTCCTCAGGCCCTTTTTTAAAATTTTTGTCAGAGACTCTTTAAACTGCCTAGACAGCACTTAAGCTTGGATCCTTCTGCCTGACCTGAAAGACTTATAATGTTACAGGTTCTACGCCACCATGTCCAGCTGGGAGTTCTCTTCATAGTTTAGTTTCAGCAGTCCTATGAAACTATTTAATAATCAGAAAGAATTGCATAAAAGTGCAGGATAGGTTTAAGTGTTGGAGGAACTATTGAAATAGGTATAAATGAGACTTTCTCATTTCATTGGGAGATTTCCCTTTTTTGGTAGAACATCATGTGAAAGAAGTAGCTCATGTGCAAACACTTGCTTTGTATACAACCATTTGGACGCATGTGCACAGCAAAGATATAGGCAACAGTGTGAGGAATAAAAGTGGCTCTTAGCTATATTCAGTTTGCCTCCATAGATTGAATCCACATTCAAATTTCAGGACTCTCCCACAGAATTTAAAGTTGGAGATGCTCTGAAGGAAGGGAATGTAGTGTCTTTAGAGCTGAGTGGCTGTTAGGGTGTGCACCCTGGATATGCAGCGCGTATGTTTTCTCCAGTTTGTGATTGCCCCACCTCTCTTTCTCCTGCCCACTACTGAACCTCTATGAGTCTTCAGCTTCTAAATTATGGTAAATTTTAATAGAGTCAGGAGTTTCAAGATATTTTATATGATTTATAAGAATGTAATCTATATTTTATTGTTAATTCTTAGAAATAGAATTGGATTTAGAATTTGTTGTTTTAAAGTTTTCCTTTGTACTGTAGATAATCATGTTCCTGTTGAAATGTCTACAAGTCTTATTGTTAATGTGATTACACCTGAATAACTGATGCAGTGGTACCAACAAGGTTCCATCTTCCTCTTCAGCCCTGTGCTTTAAAAGTACAAGTGAATTAGTGTCACTTATTATGAGAAATTTGATCCATATTGAGCACTCTTGCAATTTATTCATTATTATAACATCAATATTCAGCCTTATTAAAATTTATTCGTTATGATAGATTCCTTATTGAGCAGTATTATCTTTATCAATAAGGCATATTTTGCCACTGATTTATATTTTGCCTAAAATTAAGAAATAATTGTATTTATTCAAGTGGAACCAGAATAAGAACTTATTAAAAATGGTAGATATACTTGTGGGTCGCAGGCTTACGTTACAAGTGTGAATCAGTGTTTTGTAGTGAGCTTTCTACCAGCTAAAATAATATTTTCATCTAACAGTCGGACAAAACCCCCAAGGCAATTTAGTACTAAGCAGTCACAGTTAAGCTGGAACTTGTCTCACAACTGAGTGTCCATTTCCTGAGGACTCCTTGGAAGCAGGACTGATTGACAGTCGTGTTTGGATGCTGACACATAAGTAGAATCCAGCAAGTCACCTCCATAACCTGGAAGAAATTTCCATGTTAGAATGCTCTCAACACTGCATCCCTGAAATTCTTAATTTTTCAGGTAGTGATATTTGTTAGAAAAAGTATTAGATGGGAATAGAGCAAAGTTGAAGATTTTGGTACTGGATAAATAACATATAGTTTCATATTTTCTTGATGATTGTTCCAACTGTTGAGATACAGAACTTGTAAATAATCCTTTGGTATGATTTCTCCAATAGGTAATTCTTGAATCTATTGAGACAGAACTTGTGGAAATATTATTTCTTGGAATGTAGACTGAGAATCCTTGCCTTAGAGATGATAATTTAGCTCATTAATTCAATAAAAATGCATAACTATTTTGTAAATGTATTAGGTACATGGTCTCACTATGCAGCTGGGACTCAGTGATCCTCCCATCTCAGCCTCCCCAGCCCGGGGATTATAGGCATGTGCCACCACACCAGGTTTCACTGGGAGAGTGCAGTGCACAAGGGGGCAGGGTTGGTGCAGCATGTGGTGCCAGGGATCAAACCCTGGTCTCAGTGCTTTTGCCTAAGTAGGCGCTTGGACCACTGAACTGTCTCTCTGGCCCTATTATTTAACTTTTACCACTGTGCATTAGGGTGTGGTGCTACTGAAATCAAAGAGATGGCCCCTGCCCTCAAGTTGCTTTTGATTTAGGTGGGAGATGTTGCAGAACTTCAAAGTACCCTGATAAATGCTGTAGTGGAAAGATCCTTGGAATCTGTGAATGAAGCAGGTTTTGACACTGAGTCCATGTAGCAAATTTGGGCAGAAAGCGTGTGCTGCAGAGGGGAGAGTGCACAGGCAGGACGCATGGAAGGGGGTGCTGTGAGTGTGAAGGAAGAGATGGATGTGTATTCATTTTCTATGTTAGGTTAGAGTCAAAGGGTGTTTTGCAAGGTTTTCAGTTCACTTGAGAAACAGGCAGTTGTGTGGCTTCTAAATTGTTTCTGCTTGTTCACAGGATGGCCTCTCGCCACTTTCACTTACTCTGAAGGAAAACAGACAGGAAGTGGCAGAATTATTTCAAAAAGCTAAAAGAAATACTGAAGAAATGGATAAGCCAGGAAGGTATAGTTGTTCACTCATTTTTCCTACACAAGACTCTAGTAGTGTTCTAGAGTAGTATGATGAAGTCAATTAATACAGCCAAAGAATCAGTAGGAAGAAAGCTGACTTACAGTTACCGGGATATAATGAAAAATAGTCCTCTGCCTGTGAAATAGCTGGCAATTTTTTTCTCCCATTGTGAAGGTTGTCTCTCCACTTTGTTGGTCACTTCCTTGCAGTACAAAGGTTTTTAATCTGATAGGACACATTTGTTGATTTTTTTTCTGTCTTTAGCACAGCTTCTACAGGGTCGCACTAAATAGATTGGACTTGTAGTGATTCTCTTGCTTTAAGCCTTTCAAGTGCTGGGATTCCAGGTGGGCACCACCACACCAGTCTCAGTTGTCTTCAGGGGGCCCTGTGGGTTGGGCTGGCACTGTTTTCCAGGGATTGAACCCCAGCTGCGGTACTCTGCCTAAGCGGGTGCTTTACTCCACTGAGCTATCAGGGCTACCTACCTTTTTTTGATTCTTGATATTACTTCTTGTGTCACTGGAGTTTTGTTTAGAGAGTACTTGCCTATGCCTGTGTCTTCAAGTATTACCTAATTTATCTTCAAGCAGATTGTTTCTGTTTTAACATTTAGATCTTTGACCCATCTGGATTTTAGTTTAGTATGTGGTGAGATGTATGGATCTAGACTCAGTCTTCTACATGTAGATATCTGAGTTTTTGTAGCACCATTTTTTAAAGATTATCTTTTCTCCCGTGTATATTTTTGGTTTTAAATCGAAGATCATGTATCGCTCACTGCCTGGACTTTTTTTTATCTCTTCTTTTTGTTCCACTGATGAACATGCCTGTTTTCGTGCCAGTACCATGTGGTTTTAATGAGTGCAACTTGAGTCTGGGATTATGTTGCCACCTACTTTGCTTTGGAATCCCTGGCTTGCTTTTGTTTTCCTGGATAATTTCTATTTCCATATAATTTTTGGATTGTTTCTTCATCACTGTGAAAAAAGAGTTTGATATTTTGCTTGGTATTGCATAAAATCTGTATCAATTTTGAAAATAAGTCATTTTGGTAGCATTAATTTTGCCTATCCAGAAACAGGGAATATATTTCCATTTCCTAATGTTTTCTATATGATTTTTTCAGAGCAATATAATTTTCATCGTAGAGGTCTCTTCTTTCCTTTCTTCAGAAAGTTATATTTTCACTGTAGAAGTTTTTGCTTTCTTAGCTTAACACTTAAGAATTTAATTTTGTATGCTATTGTGAATAGTATTATCTTCCTTATTGTTTTTTCAGTGGGTTCTTTATTAGGATATAGTAATGCTTTTGGTTATAACATATTGATTTTGTACCCCTCTAGAGTGCTAAATTTGCTTATGAATTCCTGGAGCATTTTGGTGGAGGTATTTGGGTCTTGTAAGTGGAGTATTATGCCAACTACAAATAGTGATACTTGTCTCTGTCCTTTCCCATTTATATACCACTTTTTCTTACCTGATTTTCTAGCTAATATTTCAGTGACAGTACTGAACAGAAGTAGTGATAAATAACTTCCTTGACTTGTTCCTGATTTTAGAGAGAAGGCTTTCCATATTTCCCCATTTAATATGTTATTAGCAGTAGGAGGGTCATAAATGGCTTTAGGCATGTTGAGGTAAAGACCTTCTATTCCTGTTTTCTTCAGGGATTTTAGGATGAATGAATGTTGGATTTTGTCACAGGGTTTTTCTGCATCTATTGAGATGATTTTGGTCCTTGCTTCTGTTTCTGTGATGAATTACTCTTCTTGATTTGTGTTTATTGGACCATCATTGCATCCATGGCATGAAACCTGCCTGATCAGGGTGTGTGATCGTTTTTTCTGATTTGTTTCATTCAGTTTGCTTGTATCTTGCTAAGTTTTCCATCTGTGTTCTCTAGAGAAACTGGCTGATCATTTTCTTTTTTTTGGTTGTATCCTTGTCTGGTTTTGGGATCAGGTTGTTAGCTTCCAAAAATGATTTTTCTGAAGTATCCCTTTCAATTTTCCTAAGACATTTGAATGTGAAAGCATCAATTCCTGGGCTTTTCTCAGTTGGTATTGTTTAAAGTAAATATGTAATTTCTTTCCCTGCTGCTGGATGATTCAGGAATTCTCTATCTTTTTGGATCCACTTTGGTCATTGAGGTATATCTATGAATCCCTCCAGTATATTCCCTGAGCTCTCCAAATAGTTTATCACATGCTGTCTTGATGTAATAGCTAATAATTACCTGGAGATTTAAGCAATGGCTGTTGTGATTTCACCTGTTTTATTTATTTATTTTTGGTACCAAGGATTTAACTGAGGACCTTGCACTTGCCATGCAGGCACTTATTCTACTGAGCCATCTCCCCGGCAGCTAACCTTTTTCAATCCTAACTGAATTATTTTGTATGTTTCTTTGCTTTTTGGTAAAATTGACTAAGTATTTTGTTTATTCTTTCAAAGTTCTTGAATTTATTTATTCTTTGTATTGTTTCTTTGGTTTTCATTTCATTAATTTCTGCTTTGATTGTTATAGCTCTGAGTTTCTGATGTTCTTGTTTTTCTACAGATGCATCATTAGGTTATTTATTTGGGCTCATTGTAATTTCCTGATGAGAATGTTCATTGTACACTTCCCTCATAGTACTGCTTGCTTTGTATCTCATAAATTTTAGTATGCTGAACTTGAATTATCAGTAAATTCAAGGAACTATATCTCCCTTAATTTCTTCCGTGACCCACTAATTAATCAAAGTGTGTTGCTTAATTTCCATATGTTTGCACAATTTCTGTGGTATCCAATTTGCAATTGATGTCTAGCTTCTTTTCCTTATGAGTTAATAATATGCATGGTATAATTTCTATTCATTTGCATTTACTTAAGCATCATGTTTCTTAGCCTGTGTGTTGTCTATCTTAGAGAAAGTATTATGGAGGACTACAAAGACTGTGTGTTCTGTTATTGTTTCATAGACTACTGTATTCAGTAAGTTTCCACTTTACAAAAAATGAAGTTACAAACTGTCAGATATACAAATGAGTGTCACATTACAGACATTTGAAGATGCAGACACATCACATATGTGACTCA